TTTAATTAGCCGAAAAAGAGATGATTACTCTCTTAACCATAACTTTTCCCTGCATGAAGAAAAATGAGTGCAGGTAATTAATTTATTAATATCTCTGGGGTATTGAGACTATTTACTCAATAATTTATATAATGATCATCTTTTGTTTACCCATAGATCCCAAAAACCAAAGCGATTTAATTTTAGGATTAAGATTAATCAAATGCAAGAAGAATAAATTAGTTTAGGATTGAATAATTGTGATTTAGAATTAATGACGAAACAGCAGACAAGAATCTGAAACTTTGATTGCGTGTTGTTCTTTTGTTGACGCACAAATTTTGGAGTAAAAGCTTTTTTAAATTTAGGAATGAAATTTATTGGAATCACCGATCATCTGCCCATTTGTTCGTCCAATAGATCTTAACCTGGTATAATGTAACTAAAATGAGTTTAGCATAGTTATATAATATAATTTAATGAAATCTGATATATAGTTGAAAAGTTGACAATCCAATAATTTGAGACTCAAATTTTAAGTAGCATATTGAGTTATTGACCCAATCATTATTATTATTTTTCTTATAATTCAGGATATCCTCAAATTACTTTAATTAGGCTTGAGATTAATCTCTGTCGTGTCTGAAACGTTAAAGTTAAAACCTTCCCAACAAGTACGCTTCTGAAAATTCAAATTTGTGTTGTCCTTTTTACAGAGGTAAGAGTGAGACCATTTATTATCTCAATTAATAACTTGCTGGTAACTCATTATTATTTTATTTCACTTAATGTGAAATATTTAACTTGATGTCGAGGAAGCAGCATATGCACACGGCAAGTGAGTTATAATTTTAACCTGAATTTGGTACATCCCTCTATTTGATTCGAATATTAAATTCACATCTAACATATGAATATATATATATATATATATATATCTCTCTCTCTCTCTGTTAGGATGTCATTAATTTGCTTTTTATGACCAAAATTGAATTTTATATAATACTCCTCCGGTCCTTATTATAAGACCCAATTTGACTTTTTATTTAGTCTTAATTATAAGACCCAATCCATTTTCTCTCTTATATTTATGCATTTTTTTCCAAGATAATTCTTCTAATAATGATAGTTTTAGCCAATATACTTAATTAGCAAGGATATTTTAGAAATAACAACACTTATTTATTATAAATAACCAACTTAACTTACTTCCTTAATCTCCTCAAATAAATCAATTGGGTCTTATAATTAGGACCGGAGGAGTATATGCTTTTGCCCAGTGAAACAAACATTTTCTGCCCAAAAGAAGGTGATACTCTTGCATAGTAGTTTTCTTTAGTTGATAAAAAGGAAAGCCTTTGCTTTTGGGTGGGGGATATTGGATAAGATTAAAGATAGGCTTGCTTTTAACTGGTCAAAAAGATAAAAATGTTATTGCTTGATTTTTGTTTATTGATGAGAAAAACGATGGTTTAAGTTTTTTAAATCGAAGAAAACATTATACATATTTTTTTAAAAAAAATTGTAAATTATTCTAATAATTGAAATTGAAATTTTGAACTCAAAACTTTGAGTACTAGTATATTTATTTTTCAAAAATTTAATTTTATAGATTGATTTAATAGACGGTCCTAAAGTTTTTATAATCATAATTCATATATTTTTTTGCGTGCTGAAAATCAAAATGTCAAGATGGTGGGCCTCTGGTTTCCAAGTGCATTATTTTGGATGCATGTCCTTCTTACTAAGGAAAGTAGCTACTAACTAGTTGTGACATGACATCTAAGCTCAAAGAATATTTCTAATTTTAATTTAAATAAAAAATTAGCCTAACTTTCAATTTCAGCCCTTGAAAAATTCCAACTGGGCTCATAATTAATTTTTGGGGCACAAAGTGGAGTATAAGCTTAATAGTGCTTGGTAGATCTTTGTAATTAAGGGAATGTTAATGACTAGATTATTGGGTAGGAAAAAAACACATACATATGTAAACATATAATTGGAAAAAATGATGTCAGGTATATGAGAGTAAGTAATTATATAAGTTTTGCCCAAAAAATATTACTCCTCTGGTTTTAAATATAAGACCCTTATATACACTATATGAGAGTCTTATATTTAAGACCGGATGAATATTAAAAATGATTAGTCGTCAATTTTTTCACAAGTTAAATGACAATAGTGTTTTTTAAAAAAAATATTTCATTTAATTAACAATGAGTAATTATATACTATAATAAATTGTAAAAATGTAAAACGTAAAAAAATTAAAAAAAATTGTAAAGGTGTATAAAATAGAGAAAATGAAAATAAAGAGCTTGTCAGACTTAATGAAATTGACACAAATATCCTTTATTAAAGTGAAAACGATTTTAAAAAAAAAGAATTAATAAATCTCATGTATATTTAAGCGGGCATACTTTTTATATCATTATTTTTCCATTTTAAATATATTGTTTTTTCCGTCTGAGAATTTAAAGTATAGGGAGTTACGTAAAAATGAGTGTAAAGTACATGACCGATTAATTAATTTTCCCTGCTATAATTTTATGGCCCAAGACACAAATGAAATTTGAAGGCACCTGAACTTAAAAATCACACAGGCCCATTTCTAAAACCTCAATTAGCCCAATAAAACTTCTTTTCCTGAAGAATTAAAAGCAAACCATCCAATTGTCACAAGTCAAGGCCCAACCGTGGTCCCAAAACCTGGCCCAGCCTTTTTTTATTTAAAATTCAACGGGGTTTTGGGCCAAAACTTTGGGTTTTACTCTTTACAGTAAACGCATGGATCTAGGGGCATCTGGATGAACACCAAAGGGTCTACTGTTGGCTTGTTTTGCCCAGCTAGCATGATCTACGAGGAGTAAAATCAAACACCTTGCACTTGCCACTTGGTTTTGGTTTGAGTTGAGCTTAAATCCCTATTTAAAAATTTTATACAAAAAATTGATTTTTATTGTGTTGTAACTTGCAAGGGATTGAAATTCCATGAAGATTATTTCGGATTTCCCCCTATTTACAGAAGAGAGTAAATGTGAGTAAAACATTAATAGAAGAGAAAATGACAAAAAACAAAAAAGCAGAAAATTATTAAACACTAATTAAGAAATGTTAACAAAAATTTATTGTCGTTTACAAATTCAGTATTGTCAATATCAAATAAAGTATTATTATTAAACCTAATTTAGGATTTAGTAATTTTTAACTTTTTTTTTTGGTTATTTGTCCTTAATAGAAAATGAAAAATATATAATGCCATGTTGTGTCTAAACATGCAATGCAACAATCTACAAAGTAATTTACATAAAAAAAAAAAAAAGCATGTTCCCACGCAATACGGAGTTTAAGGAATAAACTTCACTATTTATAACTTGTAATGTGTGTGTATCTCTCTCTGACCCACATATTGAGATTGGTATATTAATGATTAAGTGCCTGTTTGGTTGGGCTTTTTAGGGATAAAAAGTAGCTTAAATTGGGAAAAAGCCCGATTAGAAATTTGGATACTGTTTTGATGGGTGATTGGACAATCTGGCTTTTGCATGAAAAATTACAACAAGTTATAAACTAAAATTAACAGTTTATGACTTATAACTTTTGAAACATGGAGAGAAAAAAGTTAAGAAATTTATTACCTTCTTTAATTCTTATTATAAGCCTCAAATGACTAATTTGTAGATAACAAAAAATCAGTTAAAATCAGTTGAAAGTAATAAATAAGTTAGAAATATGCTTTTGTTTTTAAATATGCTCTTAGAAATATATTTTTATTTTCATGTTTCACTTTATATTTAATTTTTTTTTAATGATTTTTCTAAAATTTTAAAATTTAATTCACCCATTAAATTTGACTTCCTCATATTAAATTATTTTAATTTCATTGTATTATGTGAAATTATTTTTTTAATCATGTTTCATTATTTATTAAAACTCATACCTATTTTGGTTATTTTACAACCAAACTTACTTTTATTCAACTATAATCCAAACAACTCTTTATTAATCTCACTTTTGCAAACTAATTTTCAGAACTCTAATCTAAACACAATTTAGCTTATCCAATTTAGTTTTTATTTAACTTAATTTCTATAAGCCAAATTGACAATAAACGACTTTTCCAATCACTGATCTAAACATACCCTAAGTATAAAAAACGAGAAAATAACTAACAAACAAATGAAAATGATCTATATTAAATTTGTTTATGCATAAATTATTTCAATTTATTAAAATGAATTACTAATATTAATATTAGTCTATCAATCAATATGTAATTTAAAATTTATCACGAATCACACTATTTATAAGCTCAACTAGAGATTTCTTTCCCGTGCGATGCACGAATTAAAATATTTGATTAAATTTTAAATGATAATAAATTGTATTATCTAAGACAGCTTAAAATTATATTCACTTTTTATAGAAGTGTAATTTTTTTATTTATTCAAATGATATTCAAAAATTAAGAAGACTATATAAAAATTTAAAATTATTTATTTATTTCTTTATTTAAGCTTCCAATTGACGTACTATTTAATTATGATGTTTTTTATTTAATTTAATATATTCAAATTCTAATTAAGATATCATTTAAACTCAAAATTAATTATTAATTCTTTCATTTGATCCTTAAATTGAAATCCCATTTAATAATAATACTCATCATTTAATTCAATATACATAAATCCCCATCAAAATATTATTCAAATCTTATCAATTAAATATATTCTGATGTCTTAATATTATACCCTATCCGTTTTTAAAACAAATTGGGTATTAAGTTTTCAAGAATATAATATGATTCTTAAAAAATCACTTGCTATAAATATATCTCGAATATAATTTCAAGTTTTCAACTACGCAAATTTAACTTGGGTCTGAGTCTGACACAACGTGTCTCTCCCTCCTTCCCCATCCTTCATCTTTCACTTCTGTCCACAAACTTGGCTCCCTCATTTTCTTTCACCTCTTTATAAATAAATAATTATTAAAATCATCACAAAATTTGAGCCAATCAGTGAACGCTTTCTATCAGCATCTTCACCATTCAGCGCTGCAACGCAAATATCAGAATTCAGAATTTAACTTCACCCAGAAACCAAAAATGATGAAGTTTTAAACTTTGATTTTGCATTCCACTACTCTTATGGTAGATTTCAAATGTTGGGTGGTAGACTTTCTTCTCAATCTCAAGGCCTCAATGCAGCAACTTCAGCTTCTGCACTCAACTCCTCGCTCATAGCTTCTGATAGATTATCCTCCGCCCCTATATCTCTCTTGAAGGTGCTCTTGATTTTGCTCCTCTTTGCCCTTGTTCATACTATTTATTCTACAGAATCACTCAATTATGTTCGTTTTTTTCTAGGAACCCATTTCAAATGCCAGAGGATTATCCGCTAAACAAAGTTCTTTTAGCGGAGGTCGCCAAATCAACTTCGCGCGGTCTTTTAGGCGTACTCGACGACGAAACAGAACAGGTATCGAATGCACTGTATGACCTTATGAATTTGAGTAACATTGAATTGATTATGGGCAAGAAATTGTAGAGCATTTTGACTATGGAATTTTGAACAGAATGTGTATAGAATATAGCATTGCCTTAGAAATATGATTTTACGCTGCAATATGAAAAATAACACATCTTTGTCTTGAAAAACTTTGTCATATGTTATTCTGGTGTTTATGAACACATGATTAAAATGAAAGGATAAGGTGTCTGAGCAACTTATAATAATACTTGTTAGTTTCATTTATCAAATTAGCCCGCAAATGATGTGGAGAAAATAACTGGCTATAGCAATAACATTTGGAGGCTGCAGGAGTTGTGGTCTCACCAACCTGTGTGCTACCACTTACGGAAGAGAATGTAGAGAAGGTTTTGGATGAGGTAAGGCCTAGCTTGATGGCTGATGGAGGAAATGTGGCTCTACATGAGATAGATGGCCTTGTTGTTATACTCAAGCTACAAGGAGCATGCGGGTCATGTCCTAGCTCAACCATGACCTTAAAGATGGGAATTGAAACACGCCTCAAAGATAAGATTCCTGAAATCCTGGAGGTGGAGCAGATAGTTGACACTGAGACTGGACTTGAATTAACTGAGGATAATGTTGAAAGTGTACGAACTTTATTTATGCATTAATTTCCAGCATTTATATCATTTGATCAATATTATGCATCCTCATGGCCTCTTAGTCTAAGAAGTAAAAGGAAGTCATCTGCTAGAAACTTGCACTGCAGCACCCACCCGCACCCTCAAGGTCTAAGACTGAAAAAGCCTGTTGTTTTTGCTTCACAAGCTTGAGTATATCCCATCCAATTTCCTGTAGGTTTTCATATCGACAATCGAACCCTCTTTTTCTTCCCAGGGGTTGTGAGTGTAGGTTTTATTAATGAAAGGTTCCAGAATAAATTGAAAGTTTGAAACTCATAGGCATCATCTTGAAAATGACAATGAGTGATTAGTACATTCTGCAAAACCATAAAGATTACTCTCCACCAATGTCCCTGTGGCTGAATACTACCTCTGATCTTTAATATAAAAGCTTGTTTGATTTTTATTTTGGCTTTAAATATAATAGCCCAATACATTTTCTATCCTATATTTATCTATTTTTTCACAAGTTAGTTATTGTAATAATAATAGTTCTAATCGATACACTTGATTAGTAAGGATATTTTAGGAAAAACAATATCTATTTATTACAAATAACTAACATAACTAATTTTCTTAATATACTCAAATTAGTCAACTGGGACTGGAGGTAGTAACATGTAAGCCCTCATGCTTTTAAGTGAGAGATTGTGGGTTCCATCCTGCTTGTAATCTCATGTCATTAATACCTACTCTTTTAATTCAGTTTAAAAGAAACAAGGTTAAAAAGCACTCTTCTCAGTTGGGCCAGAAAGTTGGAAGTCTCTCCTTATTTCTTGAACAATTCTGATAGTGAGCTAAATAACAAGACGGAATACAAATATTACATGTGCCTTCCGCCCCAACTATTTTATGTTGCCTTAATTTTGCAGAAATCGTCTCTGCATAAAACACAGATATGTCTTAGAGCTTTGGGATTCTGTGTTAAGCTAATCATGTTCTGCTTAGAGCTTCCTTTTGCTTTGTGAATGCATTCTGAAGCTTATAATGTTTTCAGGTTCTTGCTGAGATTAGACCATACCTTAGTGGCACTGGGGGAGGAACACTGGAACTTGTTCAGATTAATGACTATGTCGTCAAAGTTCGGCTCACTGGACCTGCTGCAAAAGTTATGACTGTTCGTGTGGCCCTAACTCAAAAGTTGAGGGACAAGATACCTTCCATTGCAGCTGTGCAGCTAATAGAGTGATGGATTCCGTACCCGTTTTAAACCAAACAGATGAACATGTGCATTTGTCTTCGTCATACAGGATTCAACATTGCCTCACTTTTAGTTTTACCCTCACCATTTCAACCCATTGGGGTACAACTGATTATATGTATTTCTCCTCTCACTCTCACTTTATCGTTGTATTATTCAGAATTACCGAATTTTCATGTTTCATGTCTATAAAATTCTATAGACATTTATAGTAAAATATCCTTGAGAAAAATATTTGGTCACATCTTATACTTTCATTAAAATATTTGACGGCTAATACTTAATTAAACTTTAGTCTCTCTTCTCTTTATGGCACACATTTATTTATTCATCGACCCTCCCCCTGATTTGCCGATATCCACATCACAATGCATTGAAAAATTCCCAGGTACAACTAACTTTTGTTCTTCCAAAATGAGGAATTGGGGAGGGAAAGGAATGTTCAATTAGACAAAATTACAACTGTACCCTCATGGTTTCACATAGCAGTAAGCCTGTAAGCCTGCAACCAAGAGCAAGAGCCCGCATGAAAATCAGTCTCCACTCAAACCCTAATAAGTTGCGCAACTTCGCCTCCTGGCCCTGATGCTTCATCCGTATTCACAGTTCTACAACAACTTCCGAGATTTTTTTTCCCCACAATCATATCTTTTCTTTCCTTTCATGTGCGTGGGTTGAGAGCCTCAAAATCTGTCGTTGGTAAAGGTGCATCTAGAAAGTTCTACATTCTTATGATGCCTTGCTTTGTTTCTTGTGAAAATGGATCCTCCATAGTTATGCCACCAAAGCGAGTGTCGTATTTATGGCAGATGATTTTTATGCAAGTTCTCTGAACAGATTGGTGTTGCTGCTTGTTCAGATTTGTCACGCGAGGCATACCAAATAAGCTGTTCTTTTCTTTTCTTTTTAAAAAAAAAAAAGAATCCTTTCCTTACTCTGATATGAAGTTTTTGGGATATCGACCATGGTTACTATTCTAGTTTACATACATGTATCATTCTCTGAAAATATTTAAGGAAAAAAAAAAATACTGTTCTCTTTTTTCCCTTCTTCTGGTGCTAGTAGTCATCCTCTTCATCTCTTGACCTAAAGAATCTCCTCACAACCGCAGCAGCAGCACCAAGAACCAAAAACAGCACTATAGTATCAAACCCACCTCCAATGCCAACTGCTACACTTGGGCCTGGTGCGAAGAACGAAAATGGAGACCACCCCCACCCACCATAGAACGGCACGCCATAACCGTAGCCATAGCCACCGACCAAAGGAGGCGCCACAGGGGGATTCACATAGATGTTGGTCCTGCCAATGCAAGTTTTCTTTTTCAGAAACAAGATTATCCAGAAATAGGTCTGTAAACAGAATGCCTGATCTCATGCCCACATATGTAACTTAATAGGGAATTACTAGGAAGAAACAAGTATCATTCAGACATAATACATATAAGGCTATTGTTTTTTCCTCTTCTTCTAATATGGTCTTCAAATAATACTCCAAGGAGTAAATAAAATGAACTATAAGCCAAAATGGGATTAAATCATATATGGAAGAGTTTGGACCCAACTACGTAAGAAGGCCACATAAATTCATGCAATATCTGATGTGGAAAACAACATTTTCATGACTAAATAAGAATCTACGTGACCATATATGATCAAACTAGCATATTTCTCAGAAATTACTGGAATATAGAAAGACGGATCAATGAACTTTACTGTCCTGCATTAATAAGATTTATGTGTGTCGCGTTTGTGAATTCAATTACATTCTAATACCCAAAAGAGTTCACTATATTCCTACTTGGTTCCCAAACTCCAATTGCTTTAAAGCTAGAGAGATGTGAAGACGAAAACACGTAACACATCAGTTACTTTTGTACACAAACATTTCACACACCAGCTACTATTACGCTCAATCTACCCACGGCCATGAATCATGAACACACTGAACTGTGTATGATATATGTCAGAACATATTACGACACACATTGTGATATCATACATGGCACTTCAATTCTTACGATGTAGTGTCCCAAACTAGCATGACGGTACCCATGCCTTTGTAGATTTAATTAATTAAAAATTATAGCTTCAGTTCATTTGTGGACATGGTAGCATTACTCCCAGAAGCTAACTAATAAAATGTCAATGAACCGGGACAGTTAACAACTTCAGTCACGATACGAACAAAATGATCAAGTGAAGGCAAAGGTAAAAGGATGGGAGGCAAGCAGTCCAAGTATCAGAGAAGATCATTAACAGACAGATTTTACATTGGCGAAGCTATTCATCGAAACTTGTAAAGAATTTTTTTACCTGGAGTTGTTGTTGATTCTGGGTGAGGAACGAGGAGCCGAAGATCTGAAGGCCTTGCCACCAACTCTACCCCCACTCTTGGCAGCTGATGCATCATGAACTGACCCCAGTGTCAACACTCCAGCAGCCACTGCGACTAGTGCTAACTTGGCCAACTTATTCTCTTTCTTCCTAACCACATCAACCCCGTTAATTACTCAACATGTCAAAGCACACCAGCACTACTCTTATCTCTATATCGCCAATTTGCCACGTAATTTAACTCAAAATAATGATTTGATGAAATCTCAAGTGAAAAATGCTCATTTGTAGCTTCACTTACGACAAACGTTTCCCCAATAGGAAACATTGGCATGCTGAATAATCACAATCACGAGAAACAGCATTGAGTGTAAGATAGTTTAAACAACATAAAGAGCATTCGAAAATTTAGCAGCGTCATATTCTGGGGAAAAAATAAAAGCCCTTGAATCTAGAAGACGGTGAACCAATTGAATTGAAGGAATTCGATAGACACCTGGGGGAATCTTGTTCATCATGTTGAGAATAACTGCAAGAGATGAATTTATGGGAAGTAGGAGGTGGGGCGTAGGGTTTGTGGGGAAGGGGAATGAGGGCGTTGGTGAGGAAGCTTTGGCGAGACCACATATCAACGAGTTGCAGAGTCTCCGGTTTGCTCTGTTTCTTCGGTGAACGAGTTCAAAATGAGTGCGCCTTCCTGGGATTAAAGCTGAACTGCCAATCCATTTTCTGATCCTCAAGTCGCCACGTGGCGCCATAGAATTAGACGAATCGATATTTCGTGTTCCGTCCAAACGCGCGCGCACACAAACAGGGCAGGGATTTTTTTTTGCCCTTGACTCTGTTGAAGTGCTAGAGATCTCACAGATAAACAAGGTTTTATTATTTGATTAACTAAATTGAAGAAATTAGACATTTTTTGGCACGTGGTTAGAAAGACTAATGAATGTCTGAATTAATTAATTTGCTCTTAATGCTCATATCATTGGAAGCCATTCAGCTGCGCTTAACAAACCTCCGTTGCTATATATTTATCTGATTCTATTTATAAGTCACTTTCAACATGTTTCACATAGGCCGAGAAAATCTTAAAATTTATTAAATCTTATTTAAAATTCAATAACTTTCTGATTTTATCTTTATTGAACATACATTATATATTATCTAAACAAAGTCAACACAAAAATAAATGAAGGGTGAAATTGTATATCCATATAAAAAATTTCTCTTAATACCCTATAAATAGAACCAAAAAATATATTCTCTCTCTATCCTATAAATAGAACCAGATGAATATGTGTACTACTTTTAATTTTTAATATGAGACTCAGTTAATTAATTTAAAAAATTAAAAACCTAAATAAATTATTTAAGTATAATATATGTTATATGATTTCTTTATGATAGTTTTATGTATCATTATGGGTGTGTTTGGATTGACGTTGGGTAAAACTGACTTCTAGTCTAACTAACTTTTCTAACTGAAATTAGAATAAAAGTCAGTTAGCATAATGTGATTTATGTTTAGATAGGTGCTCATAAAAAGTCAGTTAAAAAAGTTAAAAGTTGTTTGGATGATTAATAAAAAAATAAGTTTAGATGTAAAATGACTGAAAAAGACATGAACTTTATTAAATATTAATGTTTTATATTATATGATATTAGTGTGATAATTGTTAAAAAATAATTAAAATTATAATTGTAAAATAAAAATATTTGTTGGTGAGAAAATTTTGAACATACATAGAATATAATTAAATACATATAATTAATTTGAGAAGATTAGGAAATTTAAATAAAATATTTTGAAATATTTATATTTATTTTTCTTCAAATTAATTTGCTTGACTTATAAACTAATATGTAGTCTAATAATACATATAAGTATTTTTAAGAAATCATGTAATATAAAATATAATTAAATAATTTATTTAGCTTTTTAAATTTCTTAAATTAATCTATTGAATTTTATATAAAAGCATTTTCTCTCTGGGGCAAAAAAGTAAAAACATTTTGTTATTCACTAATGTGGACCCCATCAATTGCGTTGCAGAAGGCAAAAGTCACTTTCTGGAGCGTTGGAAAAAAAGTCAATTCATAGTATAAGTTCATTTGCACAACATCAATCCAAACAACATGTTTACTTCAACAAAGCTTCAAACTGCCGTTTCACATGTTCCCAGGTACTTTTTCTCCTCCAAACGGTGATCCAAACGTACCCTATGTTGTGTATATTAATTTATCAGCCAGACAAATTAATTTAAAAAATGATAATTATAAATACTTTAAAAAAATTTACTTAATTTATTTAATCTTTTTAAATTAGTTAACTATGCCTTATATTAATGATTGAAGGTAGTGTAATTTTCTCCACGATCCAATATTTGTATCGATATAATCTCTATTTTCTACTCTTCTAATCTTAAATATAAGACTCAAGACTCAGTGTTAACAAAGGTAAATATATGTTCTTACAACTGTTTTTTCCTTCCTTGTAACGTTCTTGGCTTCTTGCAGTCTCTTTGCTTCTACTAATTTTGAAAACATTTTCCTTTTAACTTAGCAGCAGCAGCAGCAGCTAGATGTGAGTTTAATTTGGTGCATCATGAACTTCATAAATTATAAATAGTATGATTTGGTATTTAGAAGGATAAAGCAGCCCTATCACCTAGTGCTAAGTAATATTGTCCTACTAAAAAGTTAAACTGTTCGATGCATATGAAAAATAAGATTAATTTATTGGGTGCATTTTTACCCTATATTAAAATTTGAAAAATAAAAATTATGGTTGGTTTTTTATTTTTCAATAATAAAATCAGATATTTATGTACAAAATTAACAAAAACAAAACTTTGTGGGCTAGCAAGGCAAGTTGTTTCTTTAGCACAGACCCAACCTCTCCGTGTATGTCTCATGTCGCCCAATTCGTCTTGTATGATACTTTTGTATTTCCTTTTCTACACCACAACCAAAATTACCTCACAGTAAATTACTGAATTATAGAAATATGAGTTGTTAGTTAAATTATTGACATATATTACCCTTTATAAGTGAATTAAAGTAAAAATTTTTTGCTAAGCACAAATATTATCCTGTTGGAGACAATTCTATTTGAAGTATTGCTAGACACTAAATATGGGCACATCATTCAATGAAAATTCGAACCTTAGTTTGTCATGCTATGAGGGACTAGCCACTTCTACTAAACCCAACTCTTGTTAGTAAATAAATATATTTTCTTTTGGAACCCTATCAACAATTGATGAGAATATATTCTCACATAAACTTTGATGATTGTTTTGACATTATCTTAGCTTGTAATATATGAGTATCATCTAAAAACTTAAAATAAGAGCCTTAATTATGTACCCCAAATGCTAGACACATGCAAGGTGATACCACCTCTAAATTAACAACAACAACTAAAACAAATGTTAATAATAACAATAAAAAAAAACTATACAATGTAAATGTACATATCATCCGAAAATCCCACCCTGTGGAAAGTTTTAAAATGTGTTCTTTTCACATCATGTTATGTTCTCGCGTGTATATATAATTACGCACATACATCTATTGCTCATTAAAAATTTAAATGAAGAACAAAAACCTGTTCATATCAATGGATCTCTGCGACAAATTTAAAGAAAGATCCTTCGTTACACTTAGCTTTGATTCAATGAAAAAAACTAGAGTCATAGTTTAGAGGGGGAAATTAAACAAAGCTATATAAATTTTTGGCGTTGTGAACAAAATATAACGTAATATAATTAACCTGATAAAGTAAAAAATATGGTTCTGTGAAATAATAACTACTATAGCAGAAGCAGAAAGAAGAAATTAAAATGAATGAGACTGGGCCAGACACTGCAGAATATTGACCTGCATTTGCAGACACCTGACATAACTCTTCAACTCTGCAAGCATTTCTTGGTCATTGCATATCTCTTCTCCTCCTGGGACCAATCTTCTTAGCCTCCTCATCGCCTCCTTCTCCTCACCGCCGCCACCATCTTCTCCGTCGTGGTCTGCAGCCGCTGCCGTCCTCAGATTCTGATCACACTCCTTCACCATGGCGGCTTTCTTGGTTGTGGTTGATGCTGATGAGGAAGAAGAAGAAGAAGACAGTACTCCATTATTGAGGACGACGTTTTGTTGCTGGAGACTGAGTTTTAGGGCGTGGCTCCATGCAGAACCCTGAGCTGACAAAACCAGAGCCATGTCCACTTCGTACTTCACAGCCTTTTTTACTGTATCACTCTCAGTGCTTTCCTTCATCTTCGTCAAGGCTGGAAGAAGATAGCTCACGTACTTCCTCGCAAACGCGGCTTCGGCTATTCTGTTTGGTTCCACAGAGTAAACCCGTCTGCGTTTAACTGCCAAAGCCTCCATTAAACACAAGAAGAAGACGAAGAAGGAGGAGGAGGCGGAGGCGGAGGAAGAGGAGGGGAAATTAAAAATGGTGTTGAAGGAATAATATGTGGGAGATGTGAGCGAGGAGAGGATGGAGATATGGGTGCAAAACAAAGCTTTGAGTGCAGACTGCCGGTTGAATCACACAAGACACAGTGGTGGATATATAATAGAGTATTATATAGACATATATATACACTCATGAAGCCTGCTTATTTATAATGGCTCATTACTTAAGTCTATTTTTGGATGAAAGAGAATAAACAAAAGTAATAAATATTTCTGTGAACCTAATTAAATGACAACAATATGTACCTCAAAAAGCAAAATGTGTACGTTTAGTTGAAGATTGTCCTAATGTAGCTTGAATTATTCAACTTAATTAGTTGTTAATCACCTTAGGAAAGACAGTTAAGAACCAAATTAAGAAAGCATTAATTATTGTCACTGCTAATCCAACAATGTACAAGTACAATTTGAATATTCATGGAGAGTATGCTGATATAGGAATAGTCTCACAAAAAGAATTATCTTTGCAACATGTATGAATATACCTGGAGGCCAACCGAGGCAGCAAATTATTAGAGAGAGGGGGGGGGGATAAGGAGTTAGCTAGGAAGCTAGCTAGATTATTGAATAATGAACATGTTTGCAGACACACGCACGGACAACACGCACAAAAATTAAAGAAGGTGACGAGGCTAGCTAGCTAGGAAGGTATAGAAGTGAATCTATGGGTGGGGGGGGGTACGTAATGAGGAGGAGGAGGAGGAGGAAGAAGATGATGATGGGGAAAATGAAAGGTTATTGGAAGGGAGGGGTGGCGTAAGAGAGGGCACATGGGCTCGCATGTGGGTTGCCCCTCTTGCATGTGCCACTACCCTCCAAGAAACGCACACCCTTAGCCCCACCATTAATACCTTTCACATGTTCTCCTTTCATCTCTGCATGTGTCTCTCTGTGTCCCTGTTTCTGTTTGTGTCACCTCTTAATTTGTTCTTCTTCCTCTTTTTATTATCTGTGGCACTGCTCTTTTGCTTTTCACCTAATTCATTTCAAATCAACCAGCTCATCATCCTCTTCCTGTACATATACTCCTCTGGTTCCCTTTGCAGGATAGCAATAGTAATTCTCTTCTCACTAATACAAGTCATCTCATTAAACCCAGGATCATTACTATTGTCGCCTTTAGTTTTTTAATATTTGATCTCATTTTGATTTTAGTATCCAAAATGTAAAACCAATTAATAGTTTTGATTCCCAAAATTCGAGCTCATTTTAATTTGATTAAAAAATTTTGTTCTTAAAATAGTGTTTTTGGTCCCTAAAACCCTTGTTCAGGGAACAAATTCTGGGGCCAAGTCGCCAAGAGTATTTTTTTTGGGTGTCCTAATTTCAAATTTTAAAAACTAAAATAAAAATGAGATCACCTTTCAAAGATTAAAGACAGTATTAACCCATAAATCTATTATAATACTTCCGATCCTATTTATAAAATCTTGTTTAGAATCTACAATTGAGTTATTATAAATAGGACCAAAGGTAGTATTAATGCACATTCTTTTTTCTAATTTATTGTGATTGTGATTTTATTAAAAAGTGTATATATATATTAAATAAGAATAAATTAAAATTTATTAAAATTTAAATCAAAATCATTAATAACATTTATTTTTTTTAAAATTATAGTAAAACGTGTTGAAATTTTCTTATAAATATGATTATTAGGAGAATATATTTAGGTTGGCTAGGGTTTTATGGTGATCACATTTCGAGGGAACACTAGCAACCACGCATTTCTATGACACACACACATGCACAATTATTATTATTGGCCTCGCAGTTGCACGCTTCCATAAATTCCACCGATCTTGACAGTTGACACACTGAAGACACACACATGCATGCTTACTCCAGGCAAAACACCCCCCCCCCCCCAAAAAAAAAAAAAAAACCAGACAGGCCCTGCGCAGTGCGTACCCAGAGTCAGGCGGACGATTAGAGAAAAATAATGATGATAAATGTTGGCAGTCGTGAAACCAAAGTCAAAATCTTTCTTCCATTCTCAAAAAGCTACCAAATCACTTTTATTCAAAATTTTATATGTCTGTTCCACATTTGTTTTTTTGCCCTCAATTCTAAATTGCTTATATTACTTGTAGTCTTAATTATAAGAGTTAGTTAACTAATTTTAAAAGATTAAGAAAAGAAGTTAAGTTAGTTATTTGTAATAAATAGGTATTGCCTTTTCTAAAATATCCTTACTAAACAAGTGTATTGGTTAGAACTATCATTGTTAAAAGGACTACCTTGAAAAAAGAATACATAAATATAAGAGATAAAGTGGATTAGAGCCTTATATTACAGACCAAAATAAAAGTCAAACAAGATTTTATAATAAGGATCGGAGGTAGTATTATATAAACATGTGTTTTAACTTTTAAGTATAGACAAGATGTGGGTGATTGTTGATCAAAATTTATTGTAAGCCTCACTGTTTACAAATTATAGACATTATAGTTCATTCATTAGACTTCATATCCACTATACGAAAAAATGTGTATAATTTACTTTAAACCATTTTTCCAGTTTATTTATTGTTATTGTTAATGTTGGTTTACTTTATTGTTTAACAGAATTTGTTTGAATAACCAGTAAGTATTGATTCTAGTGATGAAAGAGAAAGAGACCTTGGTCACTTATGTGTGAGATGTCAAATTCAAATTTGTGTGAATACGAAAAATGTCCCCTCTTATTGTATATTTGCACTCTAACTTAGACTTTAATTTAATTCTGCGTGAGAGCAACAATAACAAACCTGGATCTGAAATAAGTTGCTTTTCCTCCTCCTTTTATTTTCTAACACTTATAGTATGTAGATAAATGAATTGATGATTTTAAAAAAATTATTCATAAAAGGCAATTTTTTTGTTTGTCCCATTTCAAAATAAACAAAAAAACTAAATCAGGGTCCGCAATTTTCTTTTTCCCCAAACGGAACGAATATAAAACAGTGAATATTCTCCATACAGAACACAATAAAAAAATATGATAAAATTAATTAATATAGGATAAAATGAAATAAAACTGCATACTAGGAATAACAGAGAATTTCTCGTAAGAAACTCTTGAGGCTGCTAAAGCTTACAAAAGAACGAAGTTGCTGAATAAGAATATTAAGCTCAAAAGGCGAAATGCTTTAATTTTAAAGCAGTAGGGACGTGTTGTGTCTTCAAAGAGCGAAGCAAAGATAATTAAATGCCAAACCAACTTTTAAATTTGAGTGGGACAACCATGCATGTGCTCAATCTCAGAACTCGCATCATCATTATTTTGGTCTAAAATTTATTTTAGTTCTCATTCTGCTACACTTATTAATTCTTTATTACCATAGTTCATGCTATTTTACCTCACAAATCAGTTAATCATTACAATTCCATAGTACTATATATAAGAATTTTTTTAATATAATTTATAAGACATATTTAAAGGATATCTGAAATTTTAACCATTCCAATTAATTCCATGTTATATCGTAAAATTGATTATCTCTCACATGCCGCTTTTCTTACTCATTAATCTTTCTTTATCTCTGTAAATAAAAGTATATTTAGAAAATAACTTTTTGATCTAATTAATTCAGTGTATTCTATATATAGGACTGAAAGAGTTTTAGACAATTACATAGCATTTACTTTTGAGTAAAAATAGTGTATTTTAATAAACCCACCCAAACATTGCTTCTCATAAGATATTTTTGATGAGTAACCATCCTATTGTGGGGTCCTCTTGCCATTTTTTTTGGGGCCTGAATCTCTTGCCATATCAATGTTAAAGGGAATTTCGGTTTCTTTTTCTTTTAAAAAAGAATTAGGAATCACCCATTGTTAGATTTTTTTCAGCAATGCTAACCCGAGCTTTACATATAAGAGTTTGTTGAGATTAAATTTAGTTTTAAATATAATATTTTAATTTACTTTATTTTTTAATATATAATTTTTTTAAAGTATTTCTATCAATTTTATATGTTAATTAAATGGTTTTCACTAACTTGTTTGTTGTAAGGGGAGGAAAAATTTTAATAAGCTCGATTTAAAAAATTATAAAAAATGGTATTATAAACTTTTGATAAAGAGAAGATATAAAATAAAAAAGTAAGCAAAATTAGTTAAAAGTTTTTAACCTACTTCTTTAAATTTTTTAAATTGAGTTCATTAAAGTTTTTTCTCCCATTTCCTTTCCCTCCATTTTCTTCATAACAAACAAACCCCTGAAAGATAATTTCAATACACATAATTAATAAAAATAATTTTAAATAATCAACACATATTTATTATAAATAACTAACTTAACTAATTTTTTAATTTTTTTAAATTACTTATATAGTTTTTATATTAAGTAGTTTGTCTATTTGGTGATTTAGCTCGTCCTCCGCTAAGCCAAATATCCTTGGGTACTCTATGGCATGGGAATTATAATTTTCGCCACCATATATCTATGATTCATGGGCGTAATATTATTATAATCCAAGGTAGGGAGGGAATAGTCAATCTTAGAAAATGGTGAGGTGCATACTAAAATAATAAAATGTATTATTTGATAATTATTTCAACAACAAATTAAAGATGCATATTAAATTTTTATATTGTTATTGATTAAATGTATAAAATATTGATAAGTCACATTATCTATGGACTCATATTCATTGTTGCTACACTTGATTTTTCCTCCTTATATTATTATTTTTACAAAGTAAGCATACCTCATGTAATAATACATATATAGCGTAAACTGACAAGTGCCAGTTAAAGTGAAGACAAGTCTTGAAAATTGGTTTCTCTACTATTCTTTATTTTACACCATACCTGTTTTTAAATTGTTCGTATTAAATTTAAATAGCTCAAATATAATAATAATTATTTTCAGTATTTATTTTATATCCAAAGCATGAGAAATATAATATGAAAATAACTATCAAAATAATAATAAA